ATGCATTTTTATGCAAAATGAAGAAAATCAAAATAATATCTAAAAGAAACAGTTCTTGCAAATAAGGTATAGACTGATAGTCTATTCACAACAATTTACGGCTAATTTTTCTTCTATTATTGTCATTGTCATATCAGTTACTTTGTTTGACAGAAAACATATGATTGTTCTGCCAATCGGATGCTTCAATAGATGTCGCACATATCAACTTTTTAAATTCGGTGGGTCAGAAAGTTTTTTATTTATAGTCGACAGGTATTTAGGATGCCTTAATTTTGTGGAAAATTTCAGTTCACAAAAGTGAGTTTCATCATCAAGTGCATTGGTGCATATCGATTTCTACATTGATTGGATGACTTATGTATGTATGTCCACAGACTATAAAGAAAAAGAGTATTCTGTGACTAATCCAATAAATAAGATGAAAATAAATGAAAAATAAATTGATAAAATAATTGGCTCTGCAAATCGATGTTAAAACTTAAATTGCACATCTGATAGTTTTTTTGTACCCATTCACATCCAATGTGAATGTTTGACCTAGATCAATCAAGGTCAGAAAAGTATGATTGAGATAAGCTACACAAACAAAATCGCCATTGCAATAAAAATACACATAGCCTCTTTAAAGATGAAAGAGGGCGTTCCATATCACGTATGAAATTTTCACATGCGCTGCTGCGCTTGTATATATCAGCGTTGAAAAAGCATTAGTGCACAAAAAATATTCCTAATTTTCTTATTCTTAATGTTATGCGATTCGAGTTATATTACAAAACAAGATATTAAAATTGAATGAATAAACACCGAATTATGTCGAACTTTTTTGTTGAAGTACACTGCAAATTAATAGTATAAAATTTATTTTACATAAATACAGAAAAACCTAATAAATACTATTTCTCTTTTTTTATCATGCAAGTAAAAATTGAATAAATTTCACACTGTGTTGCAAAAAAAATGCAATTAAATAGTTCTATTAAAAATTAATTTATTATCAGTAATATTAGTTTTTATTTATGTAGAAAATTTTGAAATCTGTGACATCAAATTTATCTCAGTCCGAATAATGAAATTACTTAGGATTATTTTGACATGCGGGAAAAGTTTTGGCAAAGCATATTTCTTCAATTCTCGATAGTTTATAAATCATTAAAGTTAATAAAAAATAGTTCACAGTCAAAGTACTGTATCCTTTTTTATTCTCTCGTATTTTTCTGAAAGATCTACTACTTTCTATATTTGTTATTCTTTCGTTTTATTCTACTTCACATGATTATCTATATATTATGTATACAACTGATCGAAAAACAGAAATAAATGTTTTCTTGCTGAAGATGTTGATGATGCTCGAGTTATAAAAAAAATATTAATGTAAAAAACTCTTCTTAATGAAAGAAATAGTCTCATACGAAAAAATTTAGTCGTTTTTATATAAGATGTTTAATTTTCGAACGAATATTTCAAGTCTAAAGCAAGTGTGACAAAATGTACTGTTGGAATCTATTGTCAAGTGGAATTTGTTTTACTTGAAAAACTCTGTTTCAACCCATTCTCTTTCGTTTGAATAAACAACAATAAAACTTGTGTTTGAAAATACTAGAAATATATTGCTTTTCTTCATCATCTCGAACGTTGTTAATCAAGCGACTTTATAGATAAAATAATAGCTTGCGTCTCACCCAAACCACACGCGTTTATGTACATAAGGCGACAGTCTTATTGAGAAAAAAAAACATGACTAAAATCAATAATATAATTGTATGTTAAATTTTAGATTCGTTTTTCAGCGAGCATATTGATTTTTTATACTTCTGAATTGTTGTGAATTAGATAAGAAACGTAAACTATTTTAGTTATATTATTTATTTAATCAGAACACAATTTTTTTTCTAACAAGCAATTATTATTAGTTTGATGTAAAGAGTTGCTTGGATCTCATTGGAGTCTTCTATTCGTGAGTCTCATGATGTTTGTGTAATTGCACTGATAACTTTTACTTTCTATAGTAGCAGTATTGCTTATTATTGAAGATTACGTCGACAGTATTAATATAATTATCGGTACTGCAACACATATTCATGAGATCTTCTTCATATATTAATATGATAGAAAAAAGACAAATTTTTTACAAATTATTTGATTCAAAGAGAATCATTTTGTATTCTTTTTTTTTCAATCAACAACTAGCAACTATTCGTCTATTTGTTCTTAGTATTGTTCGTTTTCTTCAAATGTCTACAAAAGTTTACATGTCCTGTGTACACATGCGTTCATATGAAGGATAGAACGTATGACAAATAACTAGCAATAGTTATCATGTAATCAACATGTCGCCTAGCCAGATACTGTCTACTAACATAAAATCGTATATCTTCAACTTTTCGGCTCACACTTAACATTAATAAAAAGCACTAGATGAGTAAGAAGTATATATATTGATTCTTACTTAATTGAAAATCATTCTGTCTTAAAAAGTTTCTTCTTCTTTTTTTTGTTTACAAATGGAATCAGAGCAATAAAATGAAAGCATAATTGTTTCAGAGAATGAACTTGCCCTTCAATAAAAGAATCAAGCTTTCCTTTTCTTCTAGTGCAAGTAATAATTTCGATCATCATTCTTCGTTTAAAGTTATGCCTTCAGCCAAGTTCATGATGTTGTTTCACTAAAATCTGATATCGTACAATAATAATGACGATCGAAAGATGAAAACAAATAACACTAATTGTGATCGTTTCGACTAAAATATTTTTGATTCTATTTAATAATCATATTAAAAGAAGACATCAGTAATTGTGGGCTTAGTGAAAAATATTATTCAGAATCAAAAATGAGCACATTATTTTTGGTACTAGGCTAGACTTCATATATTTGTTTAAAAATAAATGTATTGTACGTAGGACTATTCCTTCCATTGAGAGGAATTTTTTATTAATATTTTTTGAATTATATCGCGAGAATCATCAAAACCTTTCACAACACATTTTGTTTCTCCTTCTTGATCAGTCGTACGCATAACATATGTACAAACTTATTTGAACATAGTCATGTGACGCAGAAGAACACGACGAAAGAACGAGCTAGATAAAAAAAACAAGATTGTTCAAAGAGTGACACTTAGAACGAAATGTCTTTACTATTGTTATGATGTATATGATTTCTCATCATCAATTAAGAACTTACTCTAAATAAACATAAGAAACGCCATCTGTGTTTTATCGATAACAAACGACATCACAGAATATATAATGTGTATATGTATTATTGAATGACATTATCGAATTTTATCTTGCATGATTGACGAAAAATAAATTCAGATATTTTTTTCAAATTGATTTTATATTGTTATCTTTTATTGATGCATGTTAATCCTTTGATCATTGAAAGTTCCATTAGACATTCTTACAATGTATGCGTACTAGTCGAAATGACTTGTCTTTTTTGTTTTCGTGTTAAACTTCAGTTAAGATTGTTTCTATCAATTAATAGAATAATACGAAAAGTCTTGTCAGTAGAGAAATCAACTACTGTTAGCATCATAATAAACATAAGAATCTTAGTAGATTATTCAAATCGAAAAAAACATTATTCAGAAAGCTTTATTTAGTCTTAGTAGAATGCTTACAACTTTTCAAACATTCTATTCTATGACAATTTCTTTTTAGATTTTTATATATAGAAAAAACTATCTTGATGAATGACTCTTCAGTTAAATATACATGTTTTATTGTTGACTTATATTCTTGTGTCTTTTGATCTTATGACAAAACTCGTCAACTATAAAAATCCATAACAAATTATTATTTTTGGTTATTTTACAGATTATAATCAAACTCATTAAAAAAAATACTAGCGTGAGTGTGGGTGTGAGTCTGATCTTAACTCAATCCGACACCCACATCCCACACCCCTATTGGTATTAGTTCAAGTCCACGAATTGATGCGCTTGTAACTCTATATCTCATCAGTTTAAAGTAAAATACTTGACCGAGACTTAATGAATAAAGACGAAGTGCTCGATTGAGTAACATTTTTAATAGAGAATAAACAGAATTATCACAACATAAACATGGCCATATACAGAATGAAGTCAAATGGTCAAATGTATAAGTATGTGACATAGAATCAATATTGATAGGAAAGCTAAGAAAAATACGACGAACGTTAGGAAATCTAGTTAGTACATAGGTGAAGTCATTAGGAGACTCTTTGACAAATAGCTTGAATTGTCACATATTTACCAGATTATAAGATAAGCGGTTGATATCGTTAGAACAAGTTGATATAAAGCACATTTGTTTACTATAAAAAGTATTTATCAAAGGCATATGGCAAAGTGTAAAGGAGTAATAAATTCCAATCGTATTGAACATACCATTGATGTTTTTCAAGCTAAAATAAAGTTCGAAATGAATCGAATAATTTTTCCACTTGCTTCTCTTTTTCTTTTGAAGAATCGAAGATTTTATTTATTTTCAATTGAAACACTTTTATGTTTGGTATATATTTTACAAGAATCTTTTTTCATTCATGTCCATCAAAATTAATGTTTGTACTTTCGATAGTTAGATGAGATAATTTCGGCATATGACAAAAAAACATTTGTCATTCAATGAAATGAAATAAAATTGTGTTCTACGAAAACCATTTCTCAATGAAAGTTTTAGTTCAGTAGTTAATGGGACAATCGTATGTAAATATTCATCATCTAAACAATACATATAGATTGTCGAAAAATAACCAAGACAATTAAGGTGTATATTCACATAAATGAGATAGGTCAGTCACGAACCAGTTGCATATATTTATTGATAAATGTTTAATTGATAATGCAACCACTTTGATATCAGTGAATTACAATTTATCGGATGAAAACTCATCTAATTTAAGATGTGTAAACTTTGATAAACCCCAAATATTATTAATTAAACAGTGAGCATTTTTATCCTTTCAAGAAAACTGACATTCAATTATGTCAAGATGAATGAAATCGAAAAGATAACGATATTGAAATAATGGGTGCGGCAGAATAAATGGCGGTTTCACTAATTTAATTATAACTTTTTCAATTTTCATGCTATCGAGCTAATTTTTTTTAAAAGATGCGCCGTGAAATTCTCTACAATCTTGCCTATTTCAACTGATTCGATTGCGACTCGTTAGTTTATTACTGGTTATGAAACAGATTAATCTAAAAACTACACCTTTCTAGCAAGAAGTTTTTAGTAGGTAGTTCCATAAGAAGTCAACAAAAAAAAACACGAATTATTTAAAAAATTTTTCTTTCATGTTAGACTTTTTGTAGAGCTTTTTCTGCTGATCATTTTGGTAAACAAACTTTTTGAACCTCCTTGAAAAATGACGATGTTATAGTCAAAGCACCAAACAAGCGTGAAATGCAGTTTTTCTGATAAGTAAGCATAAAAAGTCGATTAGTATGTGTTAACATGGCTATATTTTGGAGATATATAAGATAGTAGGTTTTGTAGAGAAAATTTTGCTCTACAAAATCCTATAGACAGCCTTTCAGATACACTCGAGTGCTATGATAAATCTCGATACAACATCGTATACGATATTCATTTGAAAAAATATGATATTTTCTTTTTTTACGATTAGTATCCTACAGAATGTTCCATCGAGATTTGTACATAGTATCCGAGTGGATCTGAGAAGCCGACTATACGGTTTTGTAGAGCATACTTTCCTCTACAAAACCTATTGTGTCACATATCTTCCTGATATGGCTATTTTGAGATATCATAATCCTACTAAAAACTTCTTGCTAGAAAGTTGTAATTTTTAGATTAATCTGTTTCATAGCCAGTAATAAACTAACGAGTCGCAATCGAATCAGTTGAAATAGGCAAGATTGTAGAGAATTTCACAACGCATCTTTTTAAAAAAATTTAGTTCGATAGCATGAAAATTGAAAAAGTTATAATCAAAATAGTGAGACCGCCATTTATTCTGCCTCACCCGTTGTAATTCGATTTAAAGTATAAAGAGAATTGATGTGATACAATGAAAAAGATTGTAGATGAGTAAATTATTCGAGAATAAAAGGTTAAGAAAGAAAGTATTCAGTTAAAATTAGCGTTTCATCATCATTAGATAGACGTAAGGATAGAATTCATATTCGAATAAATTGAGTAATAACTCATTAGTTAATGCTTCCAACTTCATCGTTCTTCTTTTATTAATAAAGTAAAAGTCTTGTATACCCGTGTTATGAGAGAAAAGATCTCTTTTTTTTTCTCTCTCTCTGAATGACACCTCATAAATCAATGATACACTGGCAGTTGATCACTCGACACTTGAACCCTCCGTGTCTTCTTAATTGCTGACAAAAATCAAAATAATTAGAAGACCGACAGTGTGTGTGAGGGCTGAAATTTTGTCCGCAATCAAGCGGTAGCAGAACTCTTATTGATTAATTGCAAAAGAAACAAAATCAATATACGATCACTTAGTTTAACTCAAAAGTACGACGCACAAACATGCGACATCCTCTCATGTTATTGATGACTCGGTAATATATTTCTTCATGACTAAGTTAATCACCTTTATAAAAACGAATACGTTTTTCGAATTATGTACCTTCTGTTTATCTAATCTTTCTTATTCTTCGATATTATTCTATTATTACTATAAATTGGCAATTGTAAAATTCTCAAAAAACAAGAAGCAACTTCTACTTGATGGTTTTCGTTACTGACGTACCAATAAATCTCAAACCACATGGCGTTTCTGTAGAAATAATTTTGCGAATCGTATGTTTTACTGGTACAATATATGTGAAAGGTACAGATTATAGTTATGTACTGAATCCAGAAGAAACACTATTAATGACATTCAAATCAAAGACTACAGATAGTGTAACAACATCACACTATCTACTTCGACAAATTTAGTCAAATAAAATTATTTTCTTGTATTCTTTAATCTCTTGTTTGATGGGGACTCAAGCGTCGGGAAGCTCAACTGTCATGTCACTAGCTTTACCACTATCGTCGATATATGAGATCCACTCCACTGCTCCATCAGCTAGTTGTGTGATTCTTTTCTTTTGCGCGTCTCTGTATAATACCCATGCTAGACCTAGTGTTTTACCTAGAATTTGCCGATGCGGAGGCGGGGGAGGGGAGCGATATTACGAGAATCGAGTGCATCCTCCCAAAATCAGGAGCCCATGCCTCATGGAGTACATGGTTCACCTCTCAAAGTCTACAGATTAGCTCTTTTGGAGTTTGGGATGGTTTCTCCAAAGGAAAAGACCGGGATAAAGCATTGGCTAGACCACTCCGTCAACCAGAGATGTGAAGATACAGATGCACACATAGAGCGTTCAATCGTTCACAAAAAAAAGAAGAAGAGCTAAACTATGTAGAGCAAATATTATGCTGATCATTGCATTTTTTGTTCATTTTAAAACTTTACGATATGTTTTTCCTATATATAAGATCTTAAGTATCTGCGTTTTAATCAATGACTTAATAATGATATGTAACGCACCAACAAATATAAATAGTTATTTACATTTATTATGTACTACAGATATATCTTTATTGAGGAACTAGGAGTATGAAGATATTCAATATACAACATGAGTACTAGGATGAAACTACGTAACAATGAAGTTTTTAATAACAAATTGAATAATTATGCGTTACGATCTTTGATTTGTTTTTTCTTTTGATAGCATTTTTCATGAGAGAGAAAAAGAAATTATCGAAAACATACACGAGCAAAATCATCGTGTTCTAAATCATCTGGATAATCAGCTCCAAGACGATAAGCTGCTGTCATTCTACTAATAGCTGCAACTTCATATGCATTAACCAAAGTTCATGATCCTGCAAAGGTTGTTGACCATACACCATTCAGTAGCCAAATCCATGGAACAACAAATAAATAATGAGTCCATGAATGACATAACTGATGCCACCAATCTTCACGAATTATTTTGTTTTTATTAATTTCATCTTTTGTTCAAATCTTTGAGTGATTTTTATTGAGAAAGACTGTTTGAAAGATATGATACGAAAATGGATGAAATTTGGAAAATTGCGCTTGATAGTTTGTACAATCAAAACACATTTCAAGTTTACGAGGATCAGATTTATATTCTTTTATATAATACATGGCTTTAAATTGATTTTGTCCAAAATTACAACGTTCTCGTTCATCTTGTCCATATAAATTTTCTACAGCTTGATTAGAATCGTAATAATTTGTATAATATTTTCCATGTATTCCGTATCGGAATGTGTTACTGTAACATCATCAGCAAATTTAGCCCAACCTAATATGAATTTATCGATCCATCGAGCTGTTTTGCCAAGAAGTATTTTAGCCTGATTAGGAAGCACACATAGAACTAATTCTTCAAATTCTTCTACTGTTTCTAATGTATGTTCATCAGCGCCTAAAAAAATAGAACCCTTCTATTCGTAAATAGTGAATATTGCATTTTTCGTTTTTGATGATCAAAAAAAAGAAGATCAAAGAGCAAAATTGTTTTTCATCGTAGCAACTTACTTGAAGCTGCAGTGTCTACAGGAGTGTTATGGGTCTTGCGAGGCTTAAGTTTAACTTGAACACCTTGTTTATCTCGTTTAATCACTTCAGTTAATTCAGTCGATAGACGAACGTGAACACCACGATGTTCAAGATCTTTTTTCCAGTCGGTTTAAAAGTCTGCCAGATTGGGAAAAAACGACCATGGAAGATAAATTCGATACTAAACTTTTGTCATCGACTTTATACCACATACCATACGTAGGTGAAGTAAACAGACGTTCAAAGATAATCGATGAAGCATCGGGTGTAGCGTTGCCTGTACCCAAAAAGAGTGCCCCATTTGGAAGAATCATATGCTTTGTGAAATCATTGAAAAAAAAGAAAAGCTTCATCAAAATTTTAATTGGAATGAATAAAAATAAAAGATCAAGTACTCAAACAATTTTTAATACAAACGTAAATATCTTTACCAAATGATACTTGTAATTTTACCGGTGAAACTTGATAACCTTGACGTTCGAACATTCGAAATGTATGATGAAAGACAGGCGAACCACCTTGAACGCCTTGGTTGAACCATGTAGCACCATATTTTTCTTTATCAACGAAAATTGAGAATGCTTGTCGACTACAACGATCGATCGAATTAATCAAACTTACATCAAATTTCTCTGGATGTTCAGCAAGTTGATTGGCGAAGGACATACCAGCAGAGCCAACTCCAATAATAAGAACACGTTTCTTCGACATTTTTTATCCTTGTTAACACCACAATCGTAGTTTTACTCAACGACACTGTAATAAATGACTGATGTTGACAACTCAAATATATTGCATGTATATTTTCGTTACAAACAGAAAGAAAAAGACGACACACATTCAATTACAAGAGAAAGAAAATGAAGAAAAAAAAACAGCAAGAGAATGTCGACTCAACGTACTGAATATCGCCTTATGTAGTAAGCATGTTTCTTTTACACTTATTATTTTTTTGAATAGTTGATGAAAATAAGTGCAAAGCATGAATTCAATCAGAACATTACAGGTATCAATTGTACTTCATGGGAATCATTTTTTTGCCAGAAAATGCTAATTATAGAACAAATACTTTAGCCAAATAAGTTTCACTTGTCTAACTAGGATGTGGGTGAGGACTTGATCTTGTATCGATCCACCCCATACGATTTATCTGCCTATTCTGCTCGATATTATTCTTCTCATGGACGTTACCTTCTTCTTCGTTCTGTATCTAGTTCATGGAATGTTACATATATTTATGATTTAATTTAGCAAAAAAAATAATGTCTCTTGATGCACTATTGAATGTTAATACATCTGTCTATGGTCTTACTATTTTCGGTCATTATGTTGGAGCAAATGTTGTTAATTATGATACATCTAATCGATTGTATGTGTTTGATTTAAAAGCCTTAAACAAAACAGACAAAAAAAATGGTTGAACTTGATCGATTCTTTCCTGATAATGAATTAATTCCTGTTGTATCAATTTACATTGATGTACGTGATACTTAATAAATTACAGTGTTTTCACGTGAGTTTTCAATGATATTTTCATGTAATAAATTAATGATTAATATATCATTTAGTGGCTTATGTTCTGGATTTTACTGCCTATATTTCATCAAATCTTAATATTGTCTTTGTCAATTATGAAGGTTCAACTGATTTTGGATAAGGTAAATGAATGAAAATTAGTATAAAACTAAATATTATATTCTTAGTATTGTAGCTTCAATCGATAAATTATTGAATAATGTATCGAAAACTGATGTACAAGATTGTCATGAAACTATCCGTCGTTGTCTTGAATATACTGTACCAAGCTGATCAGTTGTACTTATAGTTGGATCATACGTAGGTATAATAATTGATCGTCTTACTGGAGAATATTTCAATGAATATGCGATTCCTGTCTTAATAAATCCAGTTACTGCTCTTCTTTATATTTTTTTGACATCGAATATATATGATTAGACATTAGCTCAATCAGTCAACTCACTAGTTTGTTTCCAAACAGGACAGAATCGTTTTGCGAATACATCACTTATTACATATACTATTGAACAATCACCAATTCGTCTTATTGATCAGATAATAACACTAGTTTTGTTACAATTAAGCAAGAAAGATAGGTGTATACCATTTAGTGTTGGTCTACATTATTATGAATATTTGAAAACAAGCAATACTCCAACAAGATCATATGTTGATGATAGTAATTATACACTTCGAGAACTACCTACTGATAGTGATTGTTTTGCTAATATAGTTTTTTTTATTTATGAACATGTACATTTATCATCACGATTACCTGGATTTCGAGTTTCATATATTATTTTAATGTTTTCTTTTAATGTAGAATAAACTTTTGAATTATCAATTTAACAAAAAACATGCTGATTTACTCTTTAGAATGCTGAATGTATCAATAAGTGTAAGACAATCAGATAAACCTAAAAAAATATTAAATAGTAAAAGCATAAAATTTTGATAGGTTCTGTATCTGGAAATAAGATTCATAATTCATTGTATATCGAAAAAACTTTCAAATGATATTGATTCAAAACTAAAAAAAGATGAAGTATAATTCATACAAATGTAAACATATTGTTTACCATCAAAGCGAATTGTAATGATGGTGGTCTATTATAATATGTTAACTAAATAAAACGGCATCGAATTGTATGATCCAAATGCTATCTTTTTAAATATCAATTCATCGAACACATACACCGTGACAACATTGACTCATTTGAGATGGAGATCAATTGAAACATCCACATTTCTATTAAGATGTGATCAAGTCACATTAATCAACGAATCTGTTATCCAAAGAACTTACTGATAAATAACCGTTCCCATTATTATTTTCCTCAGGTCAGTCGTGTTCAATCGCATGAAAACGTTCAAATTTGATCAAGACAGGAGACGATTGAGAATCAATTAGTCAATATTTTCAAGAAAGAAAAGAGAACTTTTGTCGTGTATGATTACATTCTATATGTCTCTTTTCACTCTTGATCACTAAATCGTAAGATTTGAGTTGACCAACTTTGAACTGAGTAGTGACACGTCAAATAGTCTCGTTGGCAATCTCTCAGTAGCCTTGTCGGTGTCATCGGGCGATCAATTCTCAATTGATCGGAATTAACAATTAATAGAAAGGCTCTAATCGATTTCTCATCTTGTCGTTCAATTTATAGGAGAGACAGTCTGAAATATGTTCATTGAAATCAACTTGTCTTTGTCTCATCTCAATTCGAACCAGTTGTTTATCTGGACATGAACAATGAGAAGAAAAGTTCAACTCGTCTTCATCGAGAGAATCTCACTCTTAACTGCTGATCAATTGTGAATAAATCCTAGCGAGAAGTTCAATTTTCAAAAACGATCCACTTCGTAGTTTCAGAAAAGAAACACTTTCATCTTCACCAGATTCTCATTCGTTCATCGTGCATAATCCGGATGTGAAAGGGTCCGAGTGTAGGTACAAGTGTTCACTTCAATCATTCCCCCACCCAGTTTTGTAGAGGACGTTGAGCTCTATCAATTGGTATATGACTCAACTAGAAACATGAAACTCTATGAATAATAAAAAGAGAAATTTGATATGCCGCTATACATAAGATAACCAAAATATGGTTTCACCGGTCTATATTCAAGCCTGACCATCTCAGCTTTCGAACATTTTGAAACAAAGCGAAATGTATGATTCGATGCAGAATTAAATGTGCTACAAATTGAAATAAAAGTTTTTATTGCAATCGGGTTTTGATCAAGACATATGGGCAAAATACTGAAAAACGGAGGAAATTTTATATAGTAAAAATACTGTATTTCGACATTTTCGCTTATATATTAGGGTTAAACGAGACATATCATATATTCAATTTTGTAGAGCTAGTAGAGATCTATCTATTGGTATATAGTTTAATTGGAAATATAAAATATTTTCTAGAAAAAAAAATTACAAACATGAGTACGGTCTGACACTGAGAATAGGCAAAATATGATGTCAATGTCCCATATTCACGTCGTACAATCTCACTGCTCGAACGTTTTGAAACAATGTCTAATATACGATTCGATGCAGAATTGAAATGGCTACAAAACTGAATAATTTTTTTTCGCAACTGATTTCTCTCATAGGCATTAGGCCAAAATATTGAAAAAATGATCAAATTTTATATGCTGGAAAAACTGGTGACGGACATTTCGCACCAAGTCATTCCGAACTCCGGACATGTGTTCGGGTGTTCGGAAATGACTTTTTGCCGTAACAAGTATTCGACGGGAGTTCGTAATCGAAAACACAGGAAGATCGAAAAGACGTTACTGAGAATTCGGAATAGAATGATCATTACTATATGCGGAGTAATGTTTAAGAAGCGGGATGAAAAAGACGGGATGTTCGTGATCCAATTTACTAGGAGATCGTAACTGATCTATTCTGATATTCGCAACGGTCATAAAGACTTTTTTTTCCTTTTTTTTTATAAAATCAAGAATGATTCATACAATACCTTCGTAATTATATAAACAACATCTACCTTTCCTTGTCTCTACACATAACGCTATAATAACTCTACTAGATGTTTGTGACTTCTGTGCTTTAACCTATTCATAATGTTGATAATTGATAGCCTTAATCTCTGGAGAAATGAAGTACTATATAATTAAAAGTTTCTACGTTCAAAAATTATTGGCTAGACGAGTGAGGGTGTGAGGGTGACGTCTTCTATTTAGTGACCCTCACCCACGCTCACACTCCGCATCCTCATCCGTCGTTTGTGTATTATGTTAGAACAAAAACTAGTAAATTATTTAACATATCTTAAAAAACAGCAAACATGAACACATTTTCGAACACGCTGTTTTTATTGTTACGATCTTCCATCATTTTCATGCCAAACTCCGGTCAAATTTCACGATTTTTTTCTCTAAAAATCAATATTCGTTGTTCGTTACGATCTTCTGAATAATTTTCATTATGAGCACCCTGTTCTTTTTTATCTTTGATTGATTTTTGTCATTCCGAACTCCCGTTCACTTAATTTCGAACACCCTGTCTTTTTTCTTATGTCCGGAGTTCGTAATGAAAAGTTCGTGCAAAATGTCTCTTTCCCGAAAAAACCACTGTTTTTTGGACTTTTTTGGTTCTAAATTGAGATCATAGAGAAATGTCATGTATACAGTTTTATAGAGCAAGTCAAGCTCTATCGATTGGTATATGACTCGATTTGAATAGTGAAAAATTTGTGACCGAAAAATTTCAAAAAAGTATAGGCCAATTTTTCACACTTTTTTGCGCCATTTTTGAGGATTCTTGCGATTGGAAAGCCCTAGCGCCCAGAGATAAATCTTTAGACCGTAATATTTTCGATTCATCTATGGCAGATAAGGCCCGAAATTCCTAGATGGTCAAATCCAAAATTGGTTGACTCCCATGTTTTTGCTATCTCTGATTTTTTCAGGGAACGTCTCTTAAGTCCACACTAAATTTAAATGTGTCAAATTTATGTGTCGTGCTTAGAGTGTGTCGTATATGAATTTGTCGCGTTCTGTCTGCTGACTATTCGTTCACCATTTTAGTATGCACACATAGCGATATATAAACAACGTGGTTGAGCGTACGAAAAATAAATTTTCAAAATATTCTTATGTTCTAGATTATTTCTCGATCATTTTTATTATCGAGAAAATGTCGATCTCGATCCATGATCGAGAGAGGACTACCCTGAAGTGGTCTGATACAAATCGGATCAACTCAAGATGGGACAAATCTCAGGATCTGACCTGCTTGAGTTTCAGATTACGAATAATTAAATGGAATGAGATTGAAAAAAAATCGAAATATGATTTTCCAAAAGAACCAATAGAAAATGTGTCGCGTGTGTCGTGGTCTTGCTGGAGAAAATGTGTCGCAGTAAGCTCCTCGTGTCGCACTTTAATGTGTCGCAAATCACGACACATGCGACACATTTTAACTTAGTATGTCTGCGATCAAAATTAGTTATGAGAAAATGAATGCATTTAATCTATAATGATTTAATTCAACCAAGCTAACTGACTATATGTTATCAAATTGACTGTTAGTTGAGTTCTATGTGGGAGTGAGTGGAAAGACAAAATTCCACAATCCAGACTCCCATTAACACTTGCAAAAAATTTTGGAGAGAAAGAAAAGAAGAAGGATTAGTACCAGATACTGCTATCATCTACATCTGCATTTAGGCTATTGTTTTTCAGTGAATAACTCTTTAATGGTGAGATAACGAGGTATTAAAGAAGATTCATGTAGGCTCGACTATTTTTGTTATAATTATCTGTTCTATTATTCAATATAGCGATCGTTTCAGCTGGAAGTTCATTATCATGTGTAGCTAAGTTGTTATTCCTTATCATCTTCTCGTGCTCTAATTCAGTGAAAAGCTATTCATATAATCCTGTTTTATTTGTTAAAACTTCAACATTTATTCAAGTTAACTTTTCAATACCCACCCACCCATTTCCCATTATAAGTATTATATAGCTGATCCTAAATAGTTTATCCCGGATAAAGGTGAATTTAACATACTAAGTGCAAACTAGTCGTGTCAAGTGACACCAGAGCCGAGAAGGCAAAACAGTCGTGTCAAGTGATACTAGAGCCGAAAAGGCAAAACAGTCGTGTCAAGTGACACCAGAGCCGAGAAGGCAAACCAGTTGTGTCAAGTGACACCAAAGCCGAAAAGGCAAATTCCTCGTGTTGGATGACTTGGCATTCAACATGTAGAGTGGATTACGCTGTACTTGTGACCCACCGGCCTGCAGCCATGGCACATACAGCTGGTCTATCTCTTTCCGTTTACATTTAAGCTGAAGTACGTGACCCAATCGGCGATTCGCCACGACACGTCCAGCACAACTTTTTAATTTTAGGCTGGACGCTGCTGTGACTCTTCATTTATATAATATTAGCACTGCTGGTGAACATTTTCTTTATTATTCCACCATCGTGCCAATTTATTCTCTCAACTTACAACTGCGTTTAAAAAAGTGCCCAAAAATGACTATAAAAGAATATCGTTAACTTTATTTTTATTGTATTTAATTGTTTTGTTTTTTGTCACTTTGTTCTTTGGCAGTAAATACATATATGTCCAACTCGCCACTATATAAATAACAGTCTTCTCATAAAGAGATCGACATGAAAGTGCATTTATTTATGAAAAGTGGCTAATATATAATGACAAAATATAATAGCGGTGAATAAAAACATATAGAACTAGCGAATTTAACGGTTTTCAAATACGAACTTGAGCGTTAATATGCTTTTCTATATTTCGAATTTTACCAACCTCAGAAAAGCCATTGCCTTCTAAGTTTATATATAAAAGTGTTTTGTTTTGCATGAGAAGGTCAACAATGGCTTCGATACTCTTATCGATTATTTTGTTGTATGAAAGACTAACGTATCTTAATGTGGTATTAGATTTCAATCTAACAGCAAGCGATGCCATCCCAGAGTCAGTGATTTCATTGTCTGATAAAATAAGAGACGATATAGTGGTGTTCTGTTGTAGCATTGCAGCTAGTTCAGCGGCCCCTATGTCTGAAATCTTGTTATTGTCTAGATTGAGCTTTTCCAGAGCCGTGTTACTCTTCAATGCGTGAGCCAGAAGACTTGCGCCGGCAATTCCAATGTTGTTCTCTGGCAAACTGAGGACTTTCCAATTGGTATTTCTTTCCAATTCATCAGCAATTAGGCATATATCTTGATCATTTAAGTGCCTCTCACGGAACTCAGCGAATTCGAGCTTAGCTATTTGACGAATACGCTCTTCCAATTTTTGATTTTCGTGAGGTTTTTTATCGGCTAGAGAGGTTTGTTTCAAGCTACCACCCGTCGACGACTGTGTTGGTTTAGAAGATTTTGTTGCTGACTGAGGCATCAAAGAATGTGACGCTTTGTCGCTAATTTGAATAATGTTTGTGGCAACTGATCTTTTTGAAGGTGACGCGTTGGAAAATGGTGGTTGCAGAAGAGGGTATCGAGGTTTTGTTTCTCTCAGATGGATTATGTGAAGACCAGGTGCTGGATTGATTTTACCTAACACCTGAAATTGAGTGGCTGGTAAAAGAAGAATTTCACTTTCATCTTTAAAATAGGAATGATGATGGATATCTTTGCCCGCTTCACATTCGATATTGAATAGTGTCCGTACACCTGTTTTACCCAGAAACTTGTCAGATTCGAGTAAGTTCAAAGATTCTGTACAAGAGCTAGACAAGATACTTTCAAATTTACTTCTTCAGAACAAACATGAAAAAAAGAACTACCTGAATCCCCACCAGACGAATATCTTTCCGACAGAATACTGTTCGCTAAGGTCAGCTTTCACTCCACGCCATACAGTTTTTCTCACAGATGGAAGTTTCCACAGAGCCGATAGAAGTAATTTAAGATAATAAAAATAAGGCACAAGACAATCACGATCTTCAGAGCGAAGAGCCGCATTAAGCAGTGCATAAAGTGAATTATTAGCTGGTTTCCATTCCATTGTATAAAGATGAATCGCTGCTGATTCTTCTTGAGTGAGATCATCCGATGTTTTTTCTGAAGTTCTCTCTTTAGCAATCCATGCATTGCGCGCAATATTAGTGACAATGGCTTCCAGTGATTCTACACTTATCTCAAGTGGCAAAATTGGATTATCTTCATAGCCTTCAATGCTAAATTAGAAAAAAAATGAAGGAAAAATTAATTCTAAAATAAAATGTCTTACGGTGAGAGCATGATTATTGGCTCATTTTTAATATCGGACACTCTGTGATTTACTGTCACGTGACCAGTGGATGACGCTTTTGAGTAATTAGCCGATGCCATATTTTTTACCTTCTCGATTTTTTACTGCAACTGCTTGCTTCACCGGTCGTTTTTTATTTCAGTAGTGCGCCAAATTTTTCTCTCTGCCACGTGACACAACAAAACGCATACTTGCTGTTATCGCAGGCGCAAAATGAAACAGAACTGCATTCATTTTATCGATGCAGTGCTTCTTTGTTGATGGTTGTTTAATGCACATTCTGCGCAAGCTTTCTGCATCTCGGAAGAAAGGCTGTGTATTGCCGATAATAATTTAAAAGAGCTCGAACAAAATAACTACGTGGCAGCGTGGGTGGGGGTGTGTCGGTGTGGGTGGGTGGGGGTGTGCCGGTGTAGGTGTGGGGGGTGTGTCGGTGTGTGGGTGGGGTGTAGGTGGGTGTGTAGTATAGTTTTGAAAGGAGAGACAAATGAAACTCATATACACCCACACCCACACCCATACCCCGATTCATTCTACCAACTGAAACATGACTTCAATGTTTTTGGCTCTTTTCGAAAAATAAATATAATGTGAAGGAAATGTTTTAGATGATGGTTATAATAATTGTAAACAAAATTGTACGTATATTTTAGTTAACTATTGCCACGCGCCCTTCATATAATCAAATACATATCAATGTATATAGAAGCATAGAAAGTTCTTGGCAAAAATTCGAAATAAACGCTCTTTCTATAAGATGAGTTATTTTTTTCGTCATCTGAAATCAAAGAGTTTTCATCGAAAAAGTACCTTGAATTTCTGTTTGTCATCAACTTTCATTCTTATGTATTGTTTGTGTCAAAGCTAATTCATCGGATTCAACGATTTTACTTCTACATGCACATACTTGATATTTATTTTTAGGTAAAATAAAACTGGTTAATAAAAGACAAAAAATTCAACGGTAGACTCTTTTCTTATTGATTCAAACATTGATAAGAACAAAACAAATCAGCTACTTCAAATATATTTTGTATTTGACATTTTATCATCGAAATCTTACTTTGAGGACGCATGAAAAGTATAGTATTAGTTTATCTGCTGTTTATTACTGTTGCTTATAGTCAATCAGCTTGTGATGAAGTATCCTTCGTTAATCGAACTGGATGGGGTGCACGAGAACCAACTTCAATAACAAATCTAACAACAAAACCTCTTTCATTCTTTGTTATTCATCATGCTGAAGATCCTTCAAGGTCAATAGACTCCATTGTAAAATAATATAACTCATTTTATTATATATAGTTGTTATGATGATGAATCATGTATTGAACGAGTGAAAGAGATTCAAATTTTTCATCAAAATAGCCAAAATTGGGTAGATATCGGTTATCATTTTCTAGTTGGTGAAAATGGTAAAATTTATGAAGGTCGAGGATGGAATCGTCAAGCTGCTCATTCACCTGGTTGGAATAATGTTGCATACGGTAAAAAAATGCTGTATAATTTCGACAACTATATTTCTGATATTAAAGGCATTTCTTTCATTGGTAATTTCCATGCATCAAGTCCAAATGAAAAAGCATTAAAAACGGCACGTTCATGGATTAATTGTGGAGTTGAACGAGGTTATGTCACAAAAGACTTTTATGTTATTACTCATCGACAATCACAACGACCAGGCTATACTACATGGTAGCGTTTTATCTGTTTTTTTCGGAATGGTATTTTTCGTATTCGAAAATCGCTTCTGAGTTCGAACGTCGTATATAAAGTAAATGTTAATGACATATTAAAAAATCCTAAAACGATTAAAATGTCTAAACTCTCGACAATGAGCTATGGTCGTTTTACTGAAGCTTTAGTTTGACGCATCGCATGTACAAAAAAGAATAATAAAAGAATACTCGTTCCAATGAGATCATCAATTTTGAGACATTCTCATTGCAAATAGACTTTTCTAGGAGCAAAATGTCAGTATTTAATTTTTTTGCGAGTTGCAGTCAGTAAATTGAAATCTAACTAGAATGCATATAAATCTGTACATAAAGTCTAGATACGCTTCTTGCTTTGAATTTTTTAATAGTCTATTACTACCTACCTGCTACATACAATTCGCACTAAAAGTAATTTTCAAGCGCGCAAGAACTCATTATGATTATCGACGTTATTTGGATAAATTTTTTTGTTTAGTCCTGGTAATGCTCTATTTAACGTTGTAAGGTCATGGCCACAATCTTGTTCGTTTCAAAATTCTGGAGGGAATTTAACAGGAAATAACACATGGCCATCTATTGCTCTCAAGTTCTGCGCAAAAGAACTTGGAACATCCTCATCCACATCCCCATCTCTATTGCCATCTGCTTCAACACATTTGATGATCTCGATGTTTTTATTTGATCTGTTAATAATTTTTTTTTTGTAAGCGAACCTTTTCGTTTTTCTTCACTATCCGTTCGTAATTTTATTTAATAAAAATAATATGAACAGAAAGGAAAAACAATACGAATGAGACAAACCAAATTCGATCTTTCACTATAACCAAATATGAATTGAATTCGTATATATATATCAATATTTAATTTTATTTCACGTAAATTACGGGTGTGAATGTGGGAGGGGGTGTGGGCGTGGGTTGGGGGTGAGGGTGGGGTATGAATGTTGGTCTTCTATTCACCCACACCCTCACACCCACCCACCCCACCCACACTCACAACTAACATAGCCAACAATACGTTCAAAATCTCCATTTTCGGTTTTCTTTGCTGTGAAACCAAAGATATTCCAACAGTTAGATTTTAATACTGAAGCAGTATTATCTATCACTTGATAATTTGCTTTATTGTGTTGTAAATGATACTTGATGTTATCAACTGAATATTCGTTTTTATTAGAAACTGCATGTGATGATGATGGTGACGATGATGATGATAAAAAGAATGATCGATGACATATTCAGAGATAATACAGCACAGTATAATGTAAGATAATGTGAATCAATATGATATGATATACATCAATATAATATAATACAAAACAAAACAAAACAATATAATATAAACAAGATATAATACGATATACTAAAATATATTATAATATGATACAAGAACAATCCTTTATAATTACACAATATCTAAAAAGAGAATCAACATTATTTCATTATTTTCGTTTTATTTTTTATCTTTGTGGTTTTTGTATTCATTGATTTTCTGTTTCATTTCTTTATTCGATTACATTCGAAGTTCGAATTTTTACCAATGGGTAGAAGAATGAATAATATAGTTAAATCTAATTAGTTTGTATGAGAGACATCTTTTGATATAAAACTGTCATAAGCAAAGAATCATTAAATATCCCATGGGACGAATTTTGCATCCCATTCCATTCGGAGCTCTGAGCCAGACAATATATTTGGGAAGAAAGTGTAAAATATTTGTGTCACAGAATCAATGCTGTTTCAGCGGTGATTCAGCGAGCCTTTAAACTTTTGAGGAAAGGCTTACCTTTTGTGTATAGCTTAATCGGCGTTGAAGGAGCGTGGGTTCACTCGGAATATAGATTCTAAATTGAAATGTGTGTTGTACTTTTGTACGCAATTGATCCAGTGTAGATAAAATGTCTAGCTGTTCAGAAGCAGTTGGAATTCATAGAAAGATGTTCAAAAAGTTATTCTGATTACTTTATCTGGAGTTTTGATCGATAGAGAATCGAAAAAGTATGACTTAAAGAGATGGTCGTGAGATATATAATAAGGCTCATCTAATTTGTTTGAGTATTATTGAGATTGATTCTCGAGCTACTTAATATGCTGCAATTCTGAGTAGGTATTTGTTGCTTGGCGTAAAGGGACCGAGTAATAAACTGTGCGTTACTAGTATTACATGATTGGGAAACTTGTGCTGGAAACCACATTTATTTTTCGTGTTCGATCGGCGAATCTGAAGTTCGTATACGACTTGGAACCTCGTAAGGTTTGATTCTTACTCTGTTGTTTCGCTAAGTTGTTGGAACGCAAGTGGGGTACCGGGCCAGATTCGTATACTGTAACCATAGCCCAGGTCGACAAGTACGGGCTGGTTCCGACAGAAAAACACAGGAAATAGCTGGAACATGGAAGCAGTATTTCGGCCGGAAATTTTCCGGATTTTTTCGGTGGATTCCGACCAACTTCCTATGCTTTCCAGCAGAAACAGGCCGGAAATCATCAGAAAAAATCCGGAAAATTTCCGGCCGGAATATTGCGTCCATGTTCCGGTGATTTCTTGCGTTTTTCTGCCGATTTTTGCAGTATCCGTTCTCCGGAATTATTGACCTGGGAGAATACTTCCGAGCTCAGGAATTGACGGGAAATAACTCGGAAACGTTGATGGGAACCCGTGCGGAAATTGAACTTACAACATCTGTCGGAAACCAAGTCGGTTGGAATCGTTTCTGTTCAGGAACCGAATTTTCGGATTTCAAATGAAAGCCGTCGGATTTTTTCCTCGAATTTCCCTCTTGCTCCGGTCGGAAATGGCAGGAAAGAAAGTGGGAAAATCCAGAGAAGTCCGTCTCGGAACACTGCTTCCATGAAATTCCAGGAAAATTCCGGAACCGGCCGTTTCCTTGCCGTATTGTCCGACCTGGGTTGTCTGAATTGAGTTTGTAGGATCCTGCTAAAACCCGCTGTCAATCCTATCTAGAAACCTGACAACAATCATAGAGAGGATTTTGTCAAGATTTCATTAGGTTTCAGTCAAGATCTGCTCTAGATCCTGATACGAGGATCCTTCTAAGAGTTATAATTATATCAAAGAAAAATAATACCAGGAATAAAACAAGATCCATCAGAATTCTCAACTAACGAATTCTGTTGAACTTCGATCAGGATCCCGAACGAATCTATTCAACAACAAGCATTTCGAATGTTTAACAAAAATACAAGTATGATCAAGATCTTGATAAGAAAATGCAAGGGGTTATTTAAGATTTTTTTCAGATTTATGTTTAGAGACTATTAAAAATTTAATTCTCAACAATCTGCCAGGAATCCAACAACAATGATTGAAACGTTTCCGGGACGTTTTTAGCTAGGTTCAGGTCAGAACCCTTCCAATATTTGTAAATCTATTGATCACAACAGAGCTTCAATACCAATGTTGAGCAAAATCGCAATAAAAAGAAGTAGAAGGATTTTTCAAGATGCTATTGTGTTGTTGTTTGGAACACAACAAAATTCTGAGAGCCAAATAATCTACTGGCATCTTTGTCTTTATCTTGATTTAATTCTTTTCATAAAGAAATAGAACATATCTTAAAAATCTTAGAAAAAATTTTAAATCTTTTCAAATTTATATAAAACTTGTTTTGAGATTCGAACTATTGCGATAGATTATTTTTTTTAATCTTATCAAGAAAAGAAAATCGAAAATCATTAAATTAGGGTGTAAATTTGGATTTAGCCATCGGAAATTTGCTTCGCTTAATAGATAGTGTTTAGTTAGTAGCAAATGTTTTGATAAAACTGCTAATAGCTTTGATTACGTATCGAAAAAACACTTGAAATATATCTTTTCAATTCAATGGAAATAAAAGAAATTTCAAATTTCGCTGACTAAAATAAGTCTGTCAAATGATATTTCGTTGTCAGAACTTTTTAAATATAATTTGTATTCACAGAAAAATCAAATACGAGTTTATATTAGAATCAGGAGTTAAAATATTGAACGTTAAAGTGATATAGAATGATATGGCACATCCATTTATCTTATGTTCTATTTAGAAAATCCTGCAAAGTTCCTGCCAAAAAATCGATAAGATCCCAAGGTAAACTTAGTCCAACCTTACAAAGACCCTGTCAAGATAATCGATAACATCTTCTAGGAAACCAAGTCGAATCCTGAAAGATATGATCAGAAATCTTTTTTTTTCCAATTTTGAATTTTTGAAATCCTGTTAGAATCCTAGGATTT